TTTTTTTTTTTTTTTTTTTTTTTTTTTTTTTTTTTTTTTTTTTTTTTTTTTTTTTTTTTTACATTCTTTTAGATGTTAGGTTTTCTTTTGGCATCGGTCCATGTTGGGCTGGACCAGCTGTGTTTGGGTAGTGAGCTGCTGTTTCCAAAGCAGAGTTGGGAGTAGACCAAACGTGAGATTTACCTTTCATGATGGACTTTGACATTTCAAAATCCAGTTTATATCTATTCAGGAAAAATCAAGTTGCTATTAAAACATCATTAACATGACAACTGCCATGTCATTGCCTTTCTCTTGCAGAAATTACCTCTGGGACAAAGCAGTTGTATAGAGGCTCATGGGTAGGCTCTGGCCAGAAGCTTAATGGGCTGAGCTGCTGAGCATGGCAAGGAGCAGAGTGAGAAGCTGACAGAAGTTAAGGAAAGAGCTTCAAGAAATGGCCAGATTCACAGCTGGTTATGGAGAAGCGATGTGAGAGACTTTCAGACCACAGGGATAACCAAAGGGAATATGGGACTCCTTTTGGAGCACAAAGTCTTGCAAGGCCAGCGATGCTGGCAGCGACCATATACAGCTAGTCAGTAGAAGGCTGAGATAACTGAAATACCCAATGCTGTTCCCAAACTGGGACCAAAGGGCAAAAGTAATTAGTAGTGTTTTTTTGCTTTGGGAGGGAGCAATGTCAGAGAAAGGTCAGTATGCTGCTCTTGCTGAGCCCTGTGCCAAGTCACTCCTATTTTTATTTTTCTTTTGTTAAGTCCCTTAACTATTTTCTGTGTGTACAATTTGCTACTGAACTCAAGTTTGACTACTGGCTGAGGGAGAGGAGACACCTGTCTGCCAGGACCCAAAGTCTGAACCAGGGCCTGGGTAAGGGGTATGGGTCCAGGCACAAATACTTAAACCCCATGATAATGCTCATGCGGCATCATCCCCATGATCATCCCTGATCAGCTGAAAGGAAAGAACGTGATCAGACTGTTTCATCTTCCTGCAAGTGCTGCTGTTCTTGTTCATGTTCCTGCAAGTGCTCCCTGTGTGTGGGTGCTGATGAAGACACCTGTGCCAATGTCTTTAGAGTGCATGCACAGTGTCACTGCTGGTGAGCAATGACCTTCTGGGGAGAAGCAGCATCAGCTGCATGGGGAATGGAGCTACTCTGGGGTCTGAGAGAACTCAGCCTGAAATCTCACCTCCAGAGGACTAGGAGGAAGAAACCCCCATGGTCCCAAAATCCACTGAATTCAACCACTCCCTTAGCACCTATCTGAAATTGTCCTTCAATAAAGACACTTTATGTAGAGAACAACTCAGGAGTTTATAACCTTACTTTTTCCTGTGCTCTTCTTTCTTCTCCCAAAAAAAGAGAAGTCATCACACACAGATAAAAAACAACTTTTATACACCAGGGTAGCAATCAAATCTGAATCACAATTAAAAATAATAGATACTTTCTGTACAGATAGATATGGCTCAGGATTTTACAAGCCCCAGGATTGTAAATGCTGGCTTTGTTGGATCAGATGGGTCATTTTCAGACTCCCGGAGGGGTCTGCTTTGGTATGGGAACCACAGATGGTTCCTGGGCTCTGGGGGCTGGTGCCGCCAGCTCCCAGGCAAGATTGCATCAGCTTTTGAACTTATTAGGAAACTTATTTACTTCTTAGGAAAGTGTTTTCAGCTTTATAAATGAGTATCCTCTGATGGAAAGGAGGAAACAAAATGTTCTGCCATGCTTTCATGGGAAAGTTTGGAGAGGAAAAGAAAACTACCATATCCTAAAAACAGAGGCTTATACCATGTTCCCCAAAACAAGCATGACTAAATACAGTAACATTCTCCAGTCATACAGAAATGCAGCTTTTCAGATCTTTATGAAAATTTGATTCTGTGGTGATGGGAAGGGGAAAGGGGAGCATGGAAAAACCATGGCATGCTGTCATGCAGTAGGAAAGAAGAAGGTGGAAGAAAAATGTAGGCATTTAATGAGTGTTGGCTGTCTTAGGTGATGTTGAAGTTTCACTCATTGTGGATTGGAACTTATTTGTGTTTTGAAAATAATTGCTTTACTGAAAATGAGGTAACAAGCAGGTGGAAAAAAACACACACCTTCTTTTCCAGTCTATCAATTAGCTTCTGGAGTCTATTTATCTGGGTCATCCACTGGCTGTCTTCCTCAATCCAACCTTTGGACAAGATAAATAATGAACATTTAAAAATGTTACTAAATTGCTGGATCATAGTGTATCCCTGTATTTTATTTTAAAAAAAGCTTGACTTTAGTTCTTCTCAAAAATTATGCTTCAACTAGTTCAGTGTTCGTTTAGGTAAAACTAAAGGAAAGCACGATTTTGACTCTATGAATTATTTTTGTTCTTTTGAAGATGTGGTAGAAATCCACTTCAGAATTAAAACTACATTTTAGATTAATGTTAGTGCCTTGGAAATTCTGCTGATGCCTAAAGAAAGCTCTCCATCTCTACTGCAGTTATATTCCTGCCTGTATAATGACCTGATCATGGAATCATAGAATGGTTTGTGTTGGAAGGGACCTTAGAGATCACCTAGTTCCAAACACCCTGCCATGGGCAGAGACACCTTCTACTAGATCAGGTTGCTCAGGGCCACATCCAACGTGATCTGATGTCACATATCAAGAGTGAAGCTAGAAGATGATGTTCTACAAAGGCCCAAGCATCTGGGCTGTGAAGATGGTAAAGGGCCTAGAGGGGGAGCCATACAAGGGAGCAGGTGAGGTCTCTTGGCTTGTGCAGCCCACAGAAGAGGAGACTTAGGGGAGACCTCAGAGCAGTCTGAAGCTTCCTCATGAGGGGAAAAGTAGGAGCAGGCACTGATCTCTCTGGTGACAAGTAAGAGGAACAAAGGAAATGGCATCAAGCTGTGTCAGGGGAGGTTTAGGTTGGATGAGGAAAAAATTCTTTACCCAGAGGGTGGTTGGTCACTGGAACAGGCTCCCCAGGGAAGTAGTCACAGCACCAAGCCTGTCTGAGTTCAAGAAGCCTTTTGACAACACTCTCAGGTACATGCTTCTTTGGGCAGTCCTGTTCAGGGCCAGGAGTTGGACTTCAATGATCCTCATGGGTCCTTTCCAACTCAGGATTGTCTATGATTCTGTAATTCTGTGAGTTTCTCTGAAGTCTCTGGAAAATTTTGCTTTGCTAAAGTCTCATGAAAATTGCCTACTAGATGGAAGGGTCAATACTCAAGAAAACAAATATGTGCATTATTAAAGCAGTTCCTGACATCACTCACAGTGTGAATGTCTACATAGGTGTTGCTCGAAGAAGCATGGAGACACCTTCACTGCAGCCTCATGCTTAATGCCTCTGCTTCCAAAGAATCTCATTTACCAAAGTGCACTATCACCTTTTCAGAAATGCTGGTTCAGATTCTTTTGGTGTCATTGGAAATGAAATATTATTTTCTTTCACATTTTGTATTTTCCCTTTCTGTTTCTTATTTGTTCCCCTCAGCTGAGATGTAAGTCATGGCAGAGAACCTGGCTCTTTATAATTTACAGCCTTCACCTTTTCATTCACTTCTGCAGGCTACAAATATTACCTAAAAATGTTGAATCAATCCAAAGCCCCCAAACAATATCACAATTTGGCCCATAATTATGTATTTATTTTCATCAGTTCAGATCTGTGGATATATATTTATTTTCCTTATGGTTTAAGTTAATAACTTCTATAATAAATTGAAATTGTCTTCTGTCACTAAAGCATCTGAGTTAGTTAGGTATCTAAATTAAATTTTTGAGAGAAAGATATGTATATATTTTTCTGTACATGTGTGTATGCAAATGTTTTAAGTATCTTGAAAATGTGAAGTATCATACCTGTGCTAGAATGAGGGTTATTTGATGGCAGGCTATTGTTCTTCTGAAGCCTTCGAGCTGAGCGTTTCCCTGGCCATTGGACTGAGAGCACTTCTGGTTTTGTTGGATCTTTTCTGCACAGAAACACAGGAGACTTCTCAAGATAGAATGTGTGGGAGAGGTCTCCTCCCTCTGTTTTTAAAAAATGTGCTTATATGTTCCCTGTTGAGAAATACCTGTTGAGACCACTGGACTGTTTTCCAGATTTTCACTATTACTGACAAGTTGTGGTTATGTCATTAATAAGTCAAAAAAAAATTTGAAAAAAAAAGAAAAAAAGAAAAAAAGGGTTAAGCTGACAGGGTTAAAAAAAAAGGGTTAAACTATAGATCTTTTAGGGAGAGAAATCTCAAGATCAGTGTCTGTCTGTGATGTGGCTCTGACCTGACCTAAGTAATCATTCACACAGTTTCTTCATTCATAGGAATTTCATAGCATCACTGCAGAGGAACTTCACAATACCACCTAAAAGTGAGATATGAACTTTAATAATTGTCCCCTACAGCTTAAAGGTTGAAAAGATAAACAGCAACCTGTATCTGTTGATAAGGAAGGAAAACTGATGAGAACTAGCTACTACTGGATGGAGGACTGATACGCTTCTGGGACTAGTAGCAGATACAGAAATTATTTATGTTTGTACTGTGATGACAGAGTCATTGATACTTGAGATTTTGTGTGAGGACCAAAGGCTGTCTCTATGTGGTTCTTCTTCATCCTCCAGCTGGAATGCAATGAAGGACCAGGACTATCGTTAATTTTGAACAGTTAGTTGGATGAGTGGTTGCAAAGATTATTAGACAGTAGCCTAAACAGTTCAGTAAATAATTCTCATGTTACTGTTTTGGAAAGATATCTGGTCTCTTGCAGCACAGAATAAAGGCTCACTAAAAGTTCACACATTATGTTAAGGAGATGTTTTAGGATGGTGTTTTCTGCAGCATCAAATCCCTTCACAGTAAGACAAATTGCAGCAATTCCCCACTGTGAGCTCTCAAATTAGTTTACGAGTATCTTAGTGGGATTCTGATTCAAACAGTTTGTCCCTGAGTTTTGTTAAACGTAAATGAAGATGATTTTACATACAGACTGGGGCGTCTGCGTTAGGAACTAACTAATTTTCTCCAAAACAGCTGTAGTTAAAGTGCTGTGTTTGCCTGCCTTTTGGTATTTGGCTTAAGTGTGTCACACCTCTTTCTCATTTTCTTTGCCACAAATGAAATTCAGCATTCAAAAGGGTATTTCTGAGCAACTGTACTGATAGAACTGGAGAATGCACTACTAGACAGTCAATTTAGTCAAGAAAGCTTACTGCAAAATGGATGCTCATATTACCCAAATCCAAGCACCCAGCTGGGCAGTTTGAGTTACCCACATGGTCTTTCTAAACTGTATTTCTGGAGAGGCTGTCCTAAAAGGCAAGTCAGAGAAGTCAGTGATTACTTTGGAGGATGTAAGAGCACCTAAGTTAGGCTCTAGCTCTGAACTTGCCATTCAAGACTTCTTTCTCTCCCATCAGTTGCTGGGGAACCTGGAAATATGTATGCATGAACAGAGGGAAATATAGATACTGTGCATGTTTGGTGCATCCTCAGACTTCCAAGAACTGTTTGATTCCTATGGTCAAGCTGCTGGCACAAAACCCCAGGGTATTATTCATGTACTTCAGAGATCTCAAGCCCAACAGCAAAACAAGCAAATGATATTTCCAAAAGAAAGGTCTTAAGATCTTCGTCTGCAAAATAAAACAGTTCATATTTTACTTTTTCTGTCATCTTTAACAATAGCATACTGAGGAAAAAAAATTAAACAAAAACAAAAACCAAAAAATTACTGTTAGTGGGTTCCTGTGTGGAATAAAACGTTTAAGCTTTTTGTTATTCCCTACATCGGATTGCTGGGTGAAATGTAAAATAGAAGGTTCACAGTGACCCAACTCCTCACCCCTTCACTGCAGCTGAAAAAGAGGTTTGCTCACCTCTCCTGCCGGGTCTGCTCCTCCGTGGTTTCCATGGCACACTCCAGGGAACTCTGGAGGGACTGAAGCTGGTTCAGTGTCTCCTTCAAGAGAAAGCGAGTCACAAACTGCTCCAAATTAGAAGCCTCCTGATAGTCCTAAGAATTACATAGGGAAGAAAAAAAGGTAAGGCCTTTCCTACTAGGTTAGAAATACACGAGGGAAGGTTCAGACTTCATTCAGGAAGGAAACAAATTGGATGTTTTCACAGTTGTACATGCAAACCACATAATCACCCTTTGTGTTTCTGGACAAAAAGACCTCTGAATTTCCAGGTATAGACACAAATGCCACCCATGCTGAGAGAGGCCTGGATACACAATGGCACAGCATAGTTTCTACTCAAAAAATCCCTTTTCCTTACATGTCTTAACTCCAGTCGGTGGCAGCAGC